CCCACCCACCACCCCCCACCCTTTTGCATCACCTCAAAGAAGGGCCCTTGAATGGAACAGACTCTTTGACTTTCGGCTCATCCATTTAGCATGCAACGAATGACGTAGGGGCATTTGAGATCGTGGCTAAGCTTTGCACCCCAGATCAGGAGCTGGACAACGAAAGCCAGATGCAGGGAACTGGAAACGAGATCACTTATCGAAGTCCTCATTCTGAAAAGAAGAGGCAATCTAGGCATGATTACTGCCAATCATGCTAAATGGATGAGCCGAAAGTCAAAGAGTCTGTTCCATTCAATGACCACAAGGCGAAACTGCTAATGGAGGCTGGTGCTATTAAATACCATCTTCACCCGAATAGAACGCTCGGTCAATATCGCTGTATCTGGACTGGAGATTGACCAAAATACAGCTATAATGACTGGGTGTTCTATTCGGGTGAAGACAGTGGTGTGAAGATTTTGAATGTGGCATTTCAGTGGCAAAAGCTTTTGGAGTCGCTCGGCTTCCCTGGTTGTCAGTGCTGTTTATCGGTATGGGACATTGGGGCTGCTATTGATAGTGTCTCTTTACACTCTCTTCAGATTTTGTGCCAGTCGTTATTTGGAACCTGCAATCATCATTTGTTAGGCGGGCTGAATTTTCACTGAATCTGGTGAATGTGGGGTGTTTATCTTGTCCCCTTCCCCCCTCTTGCATTGTCTCATGCAGGTATAAAAAGGAGAAAGATGACCCGCTACCAATCACGGAGGGTCTTTACATGGCACTGGAGGCAGCACTTGGCTCCGATTCAACACAACCATTGTTTGACTTCCAGGTATAGAAGGATGCTGGGCTGCATGATTGTCTGTGTTTTTATACAACTGGAGTGTTCGAGTGGAACGCAGGGGCATGTTCTGAACAAGCAACAGAGGTTGTGACTGTGATGTTTCTTCCTTCTTCAAATTGAAGGGAGGAGGAGGAGAAGGACTTCGATGCATTGAGGGAAGGCATTGAATATGTCCAAGTACTGGAAGGAAAACCGAGAAAGAAAAAGTGCTGAAAAAGGGAAACCGAGAGAGAGAGGAAATCCGGCCAAATCGCTTCAAAAGAGGCGCAGTTGGACTGTTCTGGTCTGGGGGGGAATGAACACATTTTTTTGAATGCACATCAAGGCAGTCGGGCCTGGTCGTGGGCGTGTCCCGACCACGGACCGTGAAATTTTGGCTGCACCCGACACATTTTAAATGCACATCAAGGCAGTCGGGCCTGGTCGTGGGCGTGTCCCGACCACGGACCGTGAGATTTTGGTTGTGTGGATTGGCCAGAATTTTTGGCAGACAAATCGGCTTGGGGGGGGAGGGGAGCAGATTGTCATAGCGAAAGGGCTTTTGGACTGTTCTGGTCTGGGGGGGAATGAACACATTGATGGTCCCTGCTACCGCAGGTAGGTTCACATCTTTTTTCGGTTCGGTGTTCCAGGCTTGGACAAGAACTCCCGGCTCGCTTGTTTTGCTTTAAGGGTTTCCCAGTTATTTTGTTTGAATGCAGTGGTCAATGTACTGCATCCTTAGGGGTTTGGCCTACTGGACGCAAAAGGCTGGCATCGTCAGGAAATTGCGTGCCTATTGGATGGAAAAGCCTGGTGAATCGCTGGCATGGATTTTTTTTTCATTCGGGAAAAAGGACAGACGTGCTAGTGGTCAAACAGAACATGTTTGGTCATTGATGGCGTGTATTCCATCCATGTGTAGCCGGTCTATGCAATCTTTCCAAGTAGGAAGGGAAGAAAGGAATATCCTCTGACCTCTCTGACGACTTTTAAGGAGAGGACAATGTGCTGTTGTTGTATGGATGTCCTTGAGACGGCTTTTCTACCTCTGTGTCTATTTGTCAGATTTTTGTCTTTCGCGATCCCCGCTTCTGCTCTTCAGTTGCTGGTGGTTATCGTCTTTCTTTATATTGCCTGAGGAGAATACTAAGATAAAATGATTCTTTGCATTGTTTTATCCAAACAATTGGTCTATCGATACGACGTGTGTATCATTCAGCTGATTGCAAGCCTGGTCTTTGGTTTGTTGATGTCTTCATGGCCACAGTCGGCACAGGTTGTGTTGAGTGCGATTCTTCCAATGGCGAATGCATCATCTGAAACTGCTTGCTCTATTGACGTTGCAACTTTCTTGAGGGTAAGTGCCACAATGTGGAAAGGACACTGCTGAAGGCTAGACACGGCTGTTCTCCAGGAGACTGTTAAGCCAGATGTAATATCTACTGCCAGATGTAATATTAACTGATCATTCTTTTCCGTATGCTAGTGAGCAACACTATACCTTTTAGAGGTCATATGGATAAACAGTGGTCGATTGGCAGATTCAGAATGAGATTGCATACAAGCAATCAATTGCGACAGCAGTTAGTCAGACAGATGTGTGGAGTGTAAGGGCACACTTGAACTCTGTGAGCTGTAACTACCCACTACACTGCCCAAATTCAGTCAAGCGTGATTGTGCCCCTAGGTGTCTGTGGTATTGTGTGCAGAGGGATGTATCATTTGCTGGCTGCAGGCGCGCTGCTCCAGCAGCGTGTCGCCCAAGAAGTGAGCTAACTCGAACTGTGTGTCTGCCCTGGCCTGGCCCAGCTATATGTAGCGCTGGGCCTCGCTGGTGTGCCGCTGGTCCTGGCCTGAAACGGCCTACTCGGTCTGGGTCCCGACCAGACTTCCAGACCCTCCCTGCTGATGCAGCAGGGACGTCCGCTACTGGACGAACACGAACCTGGTCCACAAGGGCCTGCCTGCGAACGTAGAAGGCCAAAAATGTGGCCTTTGTCCGAACAGACCGCAAGTCCGAAACGACGCCAGAACAGACAAACATAGGACAGCAAATAAAGAAATAAATGAATGCTGCCTCAAATTGAAACCTGCGCCCCTAAGGTCAGCCGTGGGCCTCCGGACATGCGCCCTGTGGGCCCCCATCAATCGTCAGGCCCCCGAAATGGGGCCCGTGTGCAGGCTCAGCATGTAACAGTGCGTGTGTGGTTGTGTGCGTGGGCGTGTGTGTGTGTGTGTGTGTGTGTGTGTGTGTGTGTGTGTGTGTGTGTGTGTGTGTGTATCATGCTGGATTGGTCCATAGCCCAAGCATCTGTAGTGGCTGGTACTGTGTTTCAGGTCATTCAGTTGGCAGTGTGTCAAGTATCCTTGTGGCATTACCTCCAGAGAACGAGGTGACAGGAAGAGGTGCACTCCCAAACATTAGTCTTTGTCTTGTCCACCCTCGATACCCTCCCAAGGTGCCCCAAATGATATTGCCATTGCAGATTGGCAAAATCATCTGTTTTTTTTTTGTCAATAAGTAATGCAAAATATATCTTGTACCGGAAGTTCAAGAAAGAGGAGGGCCAAATGTCTTGGAATAGGGGATGGGAATGTACAAGTAGCTGAGAGACATAGACAGTACCCAATGACTACCCCTACCATGTCTTGGAATAGGGATGGGAATGTACAAGTGGCTGAGAGACATTACACAGTACCCAATGATTACCCCTACCTTTCCCCCTAAATCTTTACACTGTCCAAGCCCTTTTGTTGTTGTGGATCCCCACTGCAACTTGCAGAGTCGGCCGACATGGGATGTGTTCGAGTGAGTGCCAGGAAAAGAAGTCTAGGAAGTGGTGCCACATCAAGTACAAAAATGTTTGACCTGTGATGGGGCTGTTCTTGTGCCTGCAAATGGAGTCAGCATAAGCATCCCGACATATGTGAAGCATTGCCAGATTCCTGATGGTTTGAAAAGTAACTGGAATATCATGTCTAAATTAGTCTATTGTTTCTGTTCCTAGCAGCCCAAATGGTTGCTAGGATGGTTCCGTCCACCATCTCTCAAACATGTACGGAGAGCTAAATCAAGAAGAGTGGCCAGGTACTGTAACCGGAGTAGTCTGACATTGCTGTGATTTTGCCCTGAATCCAAATCAAGAAGGTTGGCTGGGTACAGTGATCTCCCAAACGAGTTCCTGGAACGGGGATCGTAAAGGATTCTGAGGGGGAAAACAAAAGTGCAAGGCATGGAGAGGAGGGCTTTTCCTTTCACACTACATACATGCACCCGTCTGACTACTACTTGGTCACTTCTGCTTTGTTCTGCTTTGTTGTTGTGGTCTGCAACCTTTGTCTTACAGAACAAGTATGCAGTCCTCAGATGCTGTGAACGAACGGGCAGAGTTTTCCCAGAAGATATTCTCAACTATCTTCTGCAGGTTTGTGACTCTTGTTTGCATGCTTGATCCTGTCCGTAGTTTGACCTTGTCAAAGTGGCCCTCTGCTGCTTTTTGTCTTTGTCATTTAGGGGGAGGGAATATTGTGTCTAGTGGATGATAAGGTGTTATTTTGCTTCTTGTTACTTGCATAAGATATTGCCAACTATCTTCGGCAGGTTTGTGACTCTTGTTTGCATGCTTGATTCCTGACTGTAGTTTGCTGTTATGAGGTAGCCATCCGTTTTGGCGTTTCTCATCAAGGGGAGGGAAGAGGGTGCCGGGTGTGTAATGAGGTGTGGGCTTGGTCTGGGGACAGGAGACGTCATGCTTCTTGTAGCTTGCTAGAGTAAGGAATGTGGGTAGAAAGTGGGACACTGTCATCCAGGTCTACCAAGCAATATGGCCAGTGATCATGTTCTGTTTAGAAAACGGGATTCCACTGGGAAAATTTGGGAAACGAAGGATCTTAACTTCTCATGGGGGCACCTGCAGCTGATCCTGCACAGAGAGGAACAAAGGAACAGACAAGCAGCAGCAGCAAACAGCCCGACGCAGGCCATCCCTCTCACAGAAAATCCTTTCGCTCCCTTGGAAAGGGAGGCAGAATTGGCTGCACTCCTGGCAGAAAAATACAGTTCAACAAAGGAGAATCAGGAGATGGAGATAGATGAGGGGAACGGCAATGCAGCCAGGGAGAAATCGCAGACCAACAGATCCAAACTGCCCAAGTACAGGCCTACACTCTCCCTGAATGGACAAARGGAACAACAGGGGCAAACATAATCCAGTCAGGGAAGCGACCGCATAACGCWGTTGGGCAYCCAAGAGGAGGCACTTTATGCACAATGTGAAAGACTTTYAKACCTGAACAGGGAAATGTCCCTGCGCACGGTGGCAGTGGAGGACCTCCACCTCAAAGCACACGCGGGTTTCTGGGAAAGGGCAAGAAAGGAAGCAAGCACACTCGTACCATCCCGGGCAGTGATTCCCATAAAATTTGACCCACAGGGGAACCAATGGGATGTTGCAATCAGGAGCGATCTCACAATTCCCAGATTGCAGAAGGGGCAAAAGAAGGAGATGCTGCTGAGTAAAATCTGCAAGGGAAAGGGATCCAAAATTATGGGACTAACAGGAAAAGACCCAAGCGCAGAACAGAGCGGACAAATCGACATGTTGGACATGGACGAAGGGAAGTCCACTAATCCATACGATGCAAGGCCAATCCTGGTATGCTGCGACCAAGAAACAGAATTGATGGAGGGCTACCAGTGGAAACCCTGGTGGTGGATGGCATCCCTACCAGTCACAGCCTTGGGTAATGAAACAACCAGAGCCCAAAATGCAACAGCAGTAGCCTCCTTGGTGAAGGATGGAATACTCTCAATGGGGGAAGAAGAGTTGCTGTCCCTTCTCCACCCTTGTGAGGATGAACCAGGAAGCAGTTCCTCAACCTAAACTGACACAAACAAGTCTAACACAATAATATGATACATAAGCAATGAAGGACAGAAGGGGGGACCTGAAAATCCAATCTTGAAAATCCAATCTTGGAATGTCAGAGGTCTGCCAACCATCTTTTCTACTCCAGAAATTGCTTTCTCAACATTACGGGCTGGAGCAGTAACACGCCCCCGGATGTGCTATGCCACCTCACCAACTCGGAACAGCACAAGTCAATTAAAAATGAGTTTGTCAAAAGATTAAGAAATTGCGAGACGGAAGTGGTAGCATATAGTCCACAACAGGCATCAGCAGGAGTACTCATTCTCACTCATGGTAATTCGGAGGCAGCGCAGTTTATACGAGTCAACTCAGTAGCAGTAGACCAACCAAAAGGAAGGTGGGCCAAAATAGAGCTGTCGTACAGGGGTGAAGAGCTATCAATCCTAAATATATACGCGCCGAACTCCCACTCGGAAAAAGTGGATTTCTTAGAAGAGGTGAAGAGCCTAACCCACCAACAATCATAGTCAATCATAGTAGGGGATTGGAATACAATCCAAAACCCGCTTTTGGACAGAATATCCTGGGCGGAAGAAAGCTCTCAAGACCCAGCCGCAGCATCCCTGGCACAACTCACGATAGAAAATAGTCTTAAAGACCCTTATAGAATGCTTTACCCGGACAAAAAGGATTACACTTGCATTAGGAAGACCACTCAAGGCAGAACTTCGTTCTCAAGAATARACTTCTTTCTCATTTYCGAATCGCTTGAAGGAGCARTCWTAGACTGCACAATAGGAAGACTACCCCACTACACAGGTTTCGACCATAACCCAATCACTATTACGTTAGAATTAACCTTGGATAGCTCCCCAGGAAGGAGCTTTTTCAAATTAAATACATCCTTCCTTAGCACAGACTCCTTCAAGCAGGGCATCCAAAACAGATGGAAGGAGCCAACACAAGGCTTCAAAGAAGGTGAAATCTGGACTGATCTCCCGGCGGCAACTAGATCCTTAAGTGACTGGGCAAGCGGCTTCTCGAGGGATGAGGCTAGAAGAAGGAAGGCAAGGCAAGAAAGTTTGGAGGCAATAGTAGAGCTAGCAAAATTCAACCTCATAGCCAACCCAGGGGACACACTCTACGAACAACTGTTGGGGGAAGCTAGGACAAAACTCAGACAATGGGCAGATTGGAGGAGACAAGGCCTAGCCATTAGAGCAAAGGTAAAGGACTAGGAAAGCAATGAAGCTATGACGAAATATTTTTTCCAGAAGATTAAGGCAAACCGTAGAAATAACAGAATCCACGGGCTGAGAGACCCCACAGGCACAATACAAACGGCACAAGAACCAATGCTAAAGGTAGCAACAGACTTTTACCAAGATCTGTACACATTCAAAACCGACCCAAGGGAAAACAGCAACATTCGGAGAGCTAGAGAAAAGTTCTTGATAAAAGCCTCAAACAAGAAGCAATAGATTACCTAGATAAAGAAATTACCTAAACAGAACTCTACGAAGCCCTCAGGAGCATGCAAACGAACAAAACCCCGGGTCTGGATGGTCTACCGAAAGAATTTTGGCAGGCCAATCGGCACATCATGGGCGAGAAAGTGACAGCCTTCTTCCAAAAGGCGTTCGAGATTGGTTCCCTCGGAGAAGAGGTCAGCACTGGAGTGGTAACTCTGCTTTATAAGAAAGGGGAAAGGGAGGACATAAGGAACTATAGGCCGATAACCCTTCTACCATACAAAATTCTGGCAAAAACACTGGCCAATAGGATACGCAACGTCACAGATAAATGCTTCCATTTAAATCAAACAGGTTTCATCCCCGGTAGATACATACTGGATAATGTAGTCTGCTTGAACGAAGCTACCAAAATAATTAAAGATAAAAAAGTTCAAGCAGCCATACTACTCTTCGATTTCAAAAAGGCCTATGACCAGGTCAACTGGGACTTCCTACAACTAAGCATGGAAAAAATGGGAGTTGGGCCGAACTTCAGGAAATGGATAAGGGTGCTTTATGGAGATGCAAGAGGGATGGTTCAGATCAATGGTCACTTGTCAGAAAAATACAGAATGACGAGATCGGTTAGGCWAGGAGACCCGCTGGCAGCTCCAATTTTCCTGTTCGTGATGGAAGCAAWTGCAGCATTCCTTCGAAAAGACCCCTCGATAGAGAGATTATCAGCCAACCACGATGGTAGACCGTTAGATATCCCCACAGTAATGCTATTTGCAGACGATCTAACAGTCCTAATCAGAGCCTCTGATTCGTCCTTTCTCGCGCTTACAAAAGCCATGCAAGCTTTCCGGCTAGCCTCTGAAATGAAGATAAACTGGAACAAAACAGTAGGTTGGTGGCTGTCCCCATCAGACCCTCTGCAACCAACCCAAGAAACCCGGGGCCTACAATGGCTGGATTCTCACAGTCCGGTACGCTTCTTGGGTATCCAAGTTTCAGAGAGGGGGGTTGATGAAGCTGCAGGCACCAGCCTTCTGGTTAAGATGACCAACAAGATGATGGGATGGCAAACAACCCACGTGTCGCTCATGGGGAGAGCTTTAGTGCTCAACGCCTCAATCTTATCAATGGGATGGTACACAGCCTCACTATGGAACCCACCACCAGCTTTCTTTGCCAACCTCAAAAAGAAGATCGGAGCCTATCTATGGACAGGCAAAGCGGATAAGGACAAGTACATCACCAAAGTTTCATGGAAATACGTAACAAGGCCAAAAACCCAAGGGGGTCTAGGCGTATTGAACCCAACGTCCCAATTTCAAGCACTACAAATAAAGTGGATAATCAAAGTTATCTTCAACAGGGAGCTTCCATGGCCCACGATGGCGTTGCACCAGATCCGTAACCTGGTCCCCTTCAAAGTGGATCCCAGTATAGAAGGATACCATTGGCTACTCAACCCAGCATGGACCCCAACAAGAAAGGGAGGAAGGAATCAGTTGAATGATAAGGACCCTCCCAGTGAACACTGGGCCACTCTGATAAAACCCTGGAGGGGATGTTTCTCGCAAAAAATCAGAACTCCGCGAATAAGAGAAGAGGTTTTGAGACAACCCTTTTTCGGCAACCCGCTTCTGAGGGACCAGAATAATAGTGTTTGGTCGTTCAACTCCAAAGGCAGACAGTGGAGAAAATGGGTGGGTAAAGACGTATGGAAAGTGGAACATCTTTGGAAGGAAGAAGAGAACAGATGGAGCACTGCACAAGAATTGAGAACCAATCTTAAAAAAATACACAACCTGAGAAATCAACTGGAAAATTTGCTTAACAGCATCCCGCTAAAATGGGAGCTTTTGCTAAAATCTGGAACCAAATGGAGGACAGGGGAATGGGCCACAGAGAGAGGCACAAGTATACCGCACGTAGGATACAAGCTGACCAAAATGCTGGAAGCGGGGAAGGCAGAGTTCGAAGCATGGGAGCTAATAGATACTCACAAAACATGGGTGAAACCAGAGAAAATACTAGAGCCAAGGGTAACAATGGAACTCGCGAACCTAAAAAAAGTTAGAGCTYGTACGC